CACTCCTATATTTTGAACTCTTTGTAGATACCACGAATGCCGTGGAGATTAATCCCGCCCCAGTTTGACCATGTTTATGCTCTTACTCCCGAACCATCATCGTCACCGTCGAAGAGACGCCGAAGTTCTGGTCGTAAGCGTTCGGTGAAAAGCGAAAGTGAACCTGAAGTGGATCCGAATGTTATGGCACAAGACGACGGTACGGAGAGAAAGTTTAGTGAGTCTGGAAATGATGTTGTTTTTGAAACAGTGGATATTGGAGAAGAAACAGAGAAACACGACAATGGCTTTCGGGAAGATGATGAAGTAGATTCACTTGAAGAGCAAGAAACTACCGAACAGGTTAGAAAAAAATTGAAGCTTAAACGGCGAAAGGTCGCTGGTTAGAACTATACACCCTTTTAATAAGTCCCGAGGTATTACGTTCTCCGCACTTGACGTCAAATTTATTCTTTTGAATTCCTTTTGTATTGTAAAAATTTCAAAAGAATAAATTTGACGTCAAGTGCGGAGAAAACAATACCTTGGGACTTATTAAAAGGGTGTATACTTCAAGTTTATGTTTATAATGTTGAGAATATTATGTTGAGGATTATGTATTTGTAGCTTTTTCACAAAAGGGTTGTTGGAGTGGACTTAGAATGCAACTGGAAAGCACTGTGTGTTATTCAGGATTCCTGTGGATTTGAATTGCTTTGCTTCAAAAAAAAGACAAACAAACAATCAAATAAAAAGAAATAAAAATGAAAACAAAACAACAAACAAGCAAAGCATTACAGAAAAAAATACACATCTTCTTATGGCGATATAAAGTACAGTATTAGTTGTATTTGATCGGTGAAAATCACAATAAACAGTCAACGCTCACAGTAACTTTAGGTCGTGGATCCTCCAGTCTCTCTAAACAACCTTTTTTGAAAAGCTTTATCCAATATCAGTGATATATCATTTATCTCGCAGGTGGACATCGTACCTATCGAAGAGCAAAGTGATAAAGGACAGTGGTATCGCAAAAAATCCGACACAAGTGAAAACCAACGTCCGYCTAAAACCTCAATGTCAAAACCACAGAAATCTCCAATCACAGCAAAAGAAATTCCTCTGTCAAAACCTCAGGTACAAATGACGTAATTATTATTATTGAATTACTATGAAATTATGGGATTTACAAACATAGATAAGGCAAACTTGGTTGAGAGAAATGTACCAAAATGAATGCGTTTTTGTTAAAAGTCCGTGGGTGGACAAGTGGCTTCCCTGACGAACTTTTGTTATGCTTGAATCAAAATAAAAGTACAGTGTAATATAAGAAAAAACTTACTGAACGAATTTTGAAGTCATCTCATTTTCCATGTATGAAAAATCACGCCCGATTTTGAATCCCTGTTGACCTTGACTCTTGTATGAATGCAGGTTCAGACGACACCTYCAAGATGTCCATGGGGTGGAATGACTGCTACGAGGTATGCTTACTTCMAGGATGTAGGGTTTTCTTGCTAAAATTACTCAAGAATTACTTTCCCCATGTATCTCTTAAAGGCTCTCGTGTACCCAGGATCCTTTGCGTTCGTTGTGCTTTAAAAATTATCTGTCGTTGAAAGTTTTGAATGTTCACATGTGAAAAATCGCGAAAAGATTCTTGGATGCACATGGGTCTAAATAACTTAGCATTACTTAAGAATTACTTCCCCATGTATCTCTTAAAGGCTCTCGTGTACCCAGGATCCTTTGCGTTCGTTGTGCTTCAAAAAATATCTGTCGTTGAAAGTTTTTTTGAATGTTCGCATGTGAAAAATCGCGAAAAGATTCTTGGATGCACATGGGCCTTTAACAAGTAAATAACTTAGCACTTTACTTGACACTTCCCTCAGCCCGCCATCAAGTGGATTAAGAGAAATCATGCAGCAGCAATTACGCACAAGTCCAAACACAAAAACATTAAAAAGCTCCACGGTATCAAGAAGCGATGGCAAAGGAAAACAGTCTCAGAAACAGAGAAAGAAGACACTTTTGGCGCAAGAGAAAGAAAATGCTCTTGGATCGCCAGARAAAGACGAGACGCCGATTAAAAATACAAATCCGCCAATAAATCCATGGTATGTATGTTGGTGTAAACTACGACCTACCCCTCCCCGTGTCAGTTTATTTACAACTATAACCATTCCACCTCCCCGTTAGTTTATCAGAACTATAACCTAGAACCCGTCCCCCGTTTGTAGATATATTATGCGGTGTTACCTTATGCTACGTATGATTGATTTTAAAAACATTACAGGGCGCTACCCGACAAAAAACCGACTCCAGTTCGATCGTTACGAGAGTTAATCGATCTAGAAGAGAAATCCCAGAGAGCCCTTTCAARCTCATCCGTTAACGTATCGCCGAGCAAAGTAAACGCAAAAACTAGCGAAAGAACCAAACCGACAAGCAAACCAACGAAGATGAGGTTAGTGCTAACGCTACCAGGTGACTAGTTCTTAAAAGAAAGCTGGCATTGCATTGTGGGAGAAATGTATATGACGTCATCATACAAGTCGCCTATTTCAATACAATTTACTGTCAGCTTTCTTACCGCTCTACAAAACTATCCCACACTCATTTGAATGAGCATTAAACAATGACTTCAAGTCGAGAATGATGTTTCATGTTTTATCGAAAACTCCAGCCTCGAACTAATCCCAGTGTTTCGAGTTCTTTCAAGCGAGTGTGCGATGGGTCTATCGTTTTCTGCTTATTCTTACATGACGTCATATCTATTTATAGCTGGGGATTACGTCATTTAGAGCAGACCGAGGTTGAAGATGACGTCGAGCCTCCAACGTCACCAAGAAAGTATGCATCCTTTTAATCTCATTCACTTTGCTTGCACCTTTCAATTATGAATTATRTAATCTAATTTTCAGTTCGTATTTTTCTTCCTCTAGTGCTTGGCAAACTGTTGGAACCAGTTCTCCTYCTAATTCGGTCTCGTTTGCCGACATTCTCAATTTACAAGAACGCGAAAATACAAACTTGAAAAGGTATTTTTTTTGGATATGATTATGATATACTTTGAATGCAGCCTTGTACATTTAAACCTGTATGATAGCAAGCAAAGCTTGTTGGTGGAAACTAGCGCTAAACTATAGGTCGAACTGCGTCGTAGCTAGACTAATCCTTAGTCTTGAGGCTATTGGCGACACGGCTTTTATTCTCGACTCGAGAGGAGACTACACGTCTTTCCCTTTCTTTTCTTTTGCGCGAATAGTTTTCAAAAGCTTATATTTATTTTTATTTCGTAGGAAAAAACCGCTGAACCTTATTCAGGTTAGTAGCAACAATTTCACGAAGAGCCGAATCGAGTGCAAAAACTAAAACGATGATATGAAAGACTTGAGTAATTACAGTACTGTAAAAATGTTAAAATGTATTGAATTGTGCACGAATTACTTTGATTTCTGTTGTCTAATGATTGTAGAGTACAAACATTAAAGGTGCGCAACACTGTCCACTATTTAATACAAAATAGTGTTAATTAAACAATAGAAAACAATAGAATTTGCATAATTTAGCAGTATTTATTGGTATTTATGTTGCACAATTTTAGTGTTTGTTTGGTTGTTTTTTTTTCATGGTTTTGGCATTTCTACTCTTTTACAGTATTTTTGCATAAATCTTGATTGTCTCGCTTATGGCATAGTTATTTGTATTTATGTTGTCTTTTTGTAGCTTGAAGACCGTGCMATTCAAGAATTACTCGACCATTAYGGTGGCCGAGATAACGCCTGTGAAATGATTACCGTTGAGAGAGTACCGACAGCCTCTGCGGCTCCAGTATGGAACAGAAAAAGGACCGAGACTCCGATACAAACACACGGTCGATTTTAGTCGAGGAAAATCTGGTCCCTGGTTTTCATTGCATTGAAGCGCCTCGTTGTATCTGACGTGTGATGTAGACATTAAACGACCACTTCGTTATTTCGGTGTCCTTATATACCGACCGCATTTAAGAATAGTGGTCGCTATCAAGAGGTGCGAGACGCCAGAAATCGGACAAAGTGGCGTGTGGCGACTGCGGTCTGAAAAGAAACGTCTTCATTTTCCCAAAACAAAACAAAAGTATTAATATAAAAATTTATATAAAAATATTTCGGGGGAACAGACAGAAATCATAAATTTTCTATGCGAAAAAAAATATTGTTATATATTTATAGTTCCTTCTAATTTTAATTAAAATATTCTATAAACCTCATAATATTCCACGTGTCGTTTGACATAGTCAATTATATCTTTTGCATTTAACGTGTGAAGAGTTTAATTGCTTTGTTGTGGTTTTCTTTCTTTTTTTTGTAAAAGTATTGAATAATTTATTACGCGAGGAGTTCTGGTTCATTTTTACTTCGAAGTTCATTAGATTTAGGCTACAAAAGCCCTTTYTTTACGCTAAAAACTCACAGAAAGACGGCTTTATGGATTTTRGCGATAAGAACGTTCGTATTCCAGATGGTTTAGCCGAAGTTTTGARTTCATTGGGTATTAGTGGAATTCCTTCATCGTGGAATCTGAATGTAACCGAATCTAGTTATTCTTTGAATCTTTTATGGCAAAGGCAAAGTGAAACAGAACGGAGAAACAAAGATAGAATTTTGAGAAAATACTCACACGAACAGGGTTTTGGGTTAGACGTGAATGCTGAAAATGAAGATGTTTTAACATCCAAAGATGCTGAACATGTGTCTTGTACTAATCTAGCGGCAAAACTTTCACCAAATCCAAGAAGAAATGCTGGGCTCTCTACTGACTGTGAAATGTACAAAAATATCAACAATGACGTGAAAGAAAGGGATTTTGGTAATCAAAATGAGGTTAATGGACAGAAATGCATTGAATCTAGAATTTTACTCGAAAGTGAGGTCGAARAGCAAGACGAAGCTCATCRCGAGGAAGAACATCACCCGTMCCCTAGCAACGGTAACTATAGSGACAATTMCTTAGTTTATAATGGTCTYCATGACAACAGTCGTTTCCATAGCAGCAAGGCAACGTGTTCGTGCGGCGAGCAATTCATTTTCAAAGAGAGAGCTATCAAACACATTCTATTYAGTTGCCCTGTGAGCCTTTGYTTCCGTGTCGACCTTGACCTTCGCGTCCATGACGTCATAAACAAATGGCAAGACGAAGAGCAAAGGATCTTGGGTAGAAAATGGTGGCACTCGTACAAGACTAGYGGTGTCCCGGATATAATGGGGACCTACCCAYTGACGTCAGTTGATCAGCTCGAGGGAATTATCAACAGCTTTATTKCCAAAGCTGGCACAAATGAGCTTTTKGATCAAAATCAAAACMGATTTGTTTTGATGAAAGGTTTGGAGCAATTACCGTACGAACTAGTAGCTTTGATTGGCTAACTGTCCACTCGAATTGACCTAWAGCATCGTGCRGGACCCACAGCTTCAAACTGGGTCTAATAACATGGCTATTCAGGAAATGGCGATTTTCCTTTGTTGGTTGTRYTCAATGTCATCCTTTGTGKTCCKTGGTAGGCCTGSTTGTTAWTTGMATCGTAAATGCAAGCAWTAGAAATGGRACTTCTTGCATTGCGCTTGCGTCCTTTTGGTTTCGTATACATTTGCATTTTTCGTGTTAGTACACCAAAGCTCTTGACATCCATCTGCGCCTCGCGTGCGAAAGAGCATCATTAGGCTTGGGGAATCGGTAACCCAGACCATATTGAGGTGATCTCCATCACGCCTATCTTTTTCAAGTTATGTTTCCCGTGCACATCTCAATGAAAACTATACCCAAACTTTCTTAATCACGTCAGAGTCGGCACATGTGAGATTTGGCTTTTAAAACCTGCAACCTTTCAGACGCCGATTTTTACATGTGTTGAAGTCAGTAAAAATGAGATAAAGAGAAACAAAAAAAAGATTAATTGTAAGTTTTCATATGATAAATTTATCTTCTATTTACAAGTGGTTCTGCGAAATTCAAATTATGGCCTATCGGAACGCCGTTTGCAATGGGCCTGAGTTGTTTGATTACAATATATTAATAATTATAATATAATATATAATTACATATTCAGTATTGACAGAACATCAATGCAGTAGTAAGTCTATACACTAATGGTAAATAAAAATTTGTTTAAAGGAACATGGTCTACCAGCATCCCAGCTTTTGCTCATGTTTGAAAATAAAATACATCGTAATCTATGTCGTAATCAAGCAAAAAACTAAATTTACTCTTTATTATCCCTATATACTACATGAGTGGAAATATTGTAAGATTCGATCTTCAAGCTGATGGATGGAAACGGATTGCGAATGGATATTCGAAGTCACCTCATTTTCCATATATGAAAAATCTAAAACACGACCGCATTGAATGCTGGTGGGCCATGTCCCTTTTAAAAGKTGATTTGCTTTCAAAAATCTCAGATTACGACCGTATTCTGGTGTCCGTAAAAAAGGACCCAATGAGCTTATTGTACAATAAATAAATAATTATTACTAAATAAATAATTGTATTCATAATTCTAACGGAGTCATKGTCCCCCATGAAGGACCCGCCTTCAATTTYACAGGTAACACCACTGACAATTTCATCGCGGTCTCCATTTCCTTCTTAATCATAGCTGCCACTCGGTGYAASTCTCCCTCGGAAACTTCTAAAATGAGTTCATCATGAAGTTGTAAAACAACAAATGCGMCMTTGGTAGGCTGGGTACTAGTCATTTTCCTTGGAGTTTGGGCACTAATTCTTGTGCTTCTTCGACGAGATCTCGTATCGCTTTCGTTTTGATCGATTGTYYTATGTCGGTGAGTTGTTCGGGYCGTCGGGTACATTTCGGTAAGTTTTCGGTCAATGTTTATCATGGCGATTTTTACTAGGTCAGCCGCTGAYCCTTGTACAGTTGTGTTGACGGCTTGACGCTCGGCCTGACTTCGCGCATGTACGTTTGTACTATTGATGCCCGGTAGGTATCGCCGTCGCTTGGTGACGGTCAAAACAAAACCATCTTTCCTGCACTTCTCAACAGTTGATTTCAAATATTTCTTTATCCCACTGAAACGGGATTTGAACTTCTCAATAAAAACAGAGGCATCTTCCTCGCTGACTTTGAGCTGTTCTCCGAGCGATTTCGCACCGATTCCGTAGATAATTCCATAACAAATCTGTTTTGCCTGCTGACGCTGTACATCACTGACAGCCGTGGGCTCAACTCCATTAAGAGAGCCCGCAATCATCTTGAACACATCACCACCGGCATTAAGGAGCTTGATAAGACGCAGGTCTGTTGATAAGTGAGCAATAAGYCGCAATTCTAACTGGGAATAGTCAGCGGCAASCAYTACTCCACCTKCGAAAGGTACAAACGAAGTACGCATGCTCACRRATATCGTATTAGTGACGTGATTCATCSTACGGGMTTCCTGTGGTAGATCAATTTCAAAGTCCCGTGGGACGTTCTGAAGGTTGGGCTCGGCGAACGATACTCGTCCCGTAGCGGTGTGGATTTGACTCGTGGTGTAAATCCGATTCATGTTAACTCGWKGATTGRGTATCTTCTCGCGCTGGACGGGGTAGACAACCTTAGTAAGCGCACARTTTACACGTCGCCATTCTAGAATTACTGCAGGGAGAGGATGAAATTGTTTGAGTCGTTCCAGWACGTCTTTGTTTGTACTGAGATGCTTGAGTTGCTTGCRACCTCTTGGAGCTCGTCGCGAAGAGCCGAGGGTTCGTCGTTTGACCTGCGTCGGGCCGKTRTCCTCGARTTTYCCGTCCACTGGAAGTTTAAGTTCTAAGAATAATACCTGGATTCGATAATGGATAATTATTAGTGATTATTATTAGTATTAGTGATTGAGCTAGAAAATCAATGAATGGACGTTGGAATGGATGATCCAAGACTGATCTATGAATAATGCTTTGCACAGTGGAAAAAACAAGATTTTTTGGAGACCTTCTCAGAGTGTCAAACAGAGTACCTTGTCTATGTCTCAGATTAGCTGGGGCTGGTTGTTCGAAGGGTGGATAAAGTTTTATTTTTTCATGGATTTTATCTACTGGATAAGGACGTTGGAAGTTATCCTTGAGCAGCATGATAGAATGATAGCAAAAAAAAAATAAGAATGTAGTCGAAGCTGCCTGAGAGTTGATCTTGTTTATTATAAGTGACTCCGAGCTTTCGCAGTCTACAGCATCATCAAGGAATTGGCGAGATAGAATAGAATATTTTACTCTATTTTTATTTACTCATTCCCTGGTGATGCTGTAGTCAGCGAAAGCTTGGGGTCATTTATAGTAAACTAGATCTACACTCAGCAGCTTCGGCTACATTCGTATCTWTTCTACAACTGGAAAAGGATTTATCCATTGGATTGTGTTATTCACCCTTCCTACAACCGGCCCTAGGTCTATTCTATCGAGACCAGGAGCTACTAGTTTTGTCTCCTGATAATCTGGGAGCCGGTTTATGAGTACACTGAACACACTTCACCAGGATTTTACAATTGTTGTCACTTACTGTTGCAACGTCATCTGGACTTGTYAAAGAAAAGCTGCGGTTGGCAAGTTTATAAGCGGTTTCTTCGAGCGCTCGCAGTTTAGCTTGTAAAATCGACTTGAGTCGTTCGCACTCGACCTCAGAGAACCCAATGCCGTTGAGTTCCATACGAGCAAGACACTTCATRACAGGCATTTCAACCTTAAAATACAAACAAAATAGTTTAATTGGTCATGGTCATTAATTTTTATAGATATAAAAASTTTCCATTCAGACCTGGTAAAATGACTCATCAAGTTCGACTTTCTTCAAGTCATCACGGAGCTGCTTCATCAACCAATAAGTGACAACTGCTTCGGTACACGCCCTCGCACGACCACCGATGGGGCTTTGGGATGCTAATCCAAGACTACCACACCCAAAACCAGCACCGGTACCTAGATGAACAGAACATCGGGATGGATAAGTATTAAGCTCGAAAACAAATGTTGGACCAACGAACAACACCGTATAACTTGGCAACCCAAAATGTTTACTCTGTTTTGTGGCATGCTGTTAGATCGCACATTAAACATGTTGGACCTGGATTTGAAGGCATCTGGCTATCCTTTTTAATGGTAATGGATACTGTTAGATCGAGCATCAAACATGTTTGATGACGTTTGGTAACGGCGATTGATGTTTGATGGGATTGGATATTGTTAGAACGCGCATCAATCATATCGGAAATGATTTGAAGGCATTATATTGCTGACCAAATATTTATCTGGTGATACAGTAATGCTGGGCCGCCCAATAATATTTTATGGAGTTAAATGTTGTTAAATGAAACCGTCCAACATGCTATTGAACTCCATGCGACATTTCTTTTTATTTGGCTAATTCCAACAATATTGCATTGCTAATCCTCGGTGATATGTCGTTTTTCTTTCTTCGCTGGGTTGTTCAAAGCCCGGTAAGCATTAATCCATGACTAACTTCATATTTTTTTGAGTTAACCCAAGGATAGCATTAATCAAGCTTTGAACAACCCTGCTCAAGTGGGCAACATTCAATCAAAATGGTCGGAACCAGCGGTAGACTAGTGTGAGCTGCGTCGGTGTTTCTAAAGAAACAGTTGTGAAAAAAATATAAATTTAACACCGTAAAAAACTAGGTGAAAAAACTTACTGACCAGGAGGAGGACCAAAGACATGCATATTTTGTAGATCAAACACTTTGAAGCCATTCTCSACRYGASGACTTCTTCACGAAATCGCGCGTGACGTCATATTAGGACATAGGTCTGTACAGCGATTGGCCCTAGAGACGACCTCCCCCCCTGTTACTGACGTTTCGGACGTTAATCCCCCGACTGTAACATTTAATTACATATCATTTTGCTTTTCATGGATGAGATTTATTCAGTACCTTCTAACAAGTCTGTTTTGTCACTAATAAACTCCGCTGCTAAATGATGCAAGCTCTTCTCCTTGGCCGAGGGATCCAACAACCATGCAGCAACTTTAGGATCTTCAACATCTCCGCTTAGCGTTATGCCACAGCTTTGGGCCAGTGCCTACAATTGATTAAAAAAAACCTGGTAACTCACTGTATTGTTTCAATTTCTTTCGTAACGTACGACTATAACACACAATAGCTTTAGCTAGCACATTCCCGCCAAAAGCTTATACAAAATTGTTCAAATTTCTTCCGTAAGCAGAAAATATGAAAACTTAACTCAGCGTCGAAGTAATTAGACTGATTCCACCAGTCTGTCTGATCGCTTTTTTTTCTGCTCCCAGACAGTCGCTAGCTGAAGTGAGAATTCAAACCAACGAACGGAATCTACGATTTATGGAATCAGTCTACGAAGCAATGTTTAAATCAAATGAATACATATTAGATTATARGAGAATCCTAACCTTATAATGTGCTGCAGAATCGAAGCAAAACTTCATTCCTTTCCGCTTTCCCTTGTATTCCAAGACTGATTTTATCCCTTCAATTCGTGTCTCAATAGACAACGTAGAGGCAACCAACGACTCATCAGGGCCTCCTTCGRCTTCACTGGAACYTTTCAAGGARATGTAGTASGCGTCYCTWCCKCCCCAKGACACGGCAATTCCCACCACAGCCTCATCTGTAYCATCGATAGAAAGTCCCTTAAGATTCCCYTSCTTCATTTTAGGACCCTTATTGAAGCGGCCTCCTATCTTAGGTACATTATCCAAACTTCTCTCTGAGGCCATAGCTATAGCGAACTCTTTACGYCCYTTCCATTCTTTAATAAAGTGGTGAAACAGAAGCTCATTGGCTGATATGTTGGCAATGGTAACGCTTGAAAAAGTACATGAAGGCGAGGCTGGCGTGTTGTTGACGKGAGAGTCTGGGCTTGAATCTGAAGCCTCATCACTTTCAGTTGATTGGAAAACATCGAGTGTATTCAAAACAAAAACAGATTTTGTTGATTCCTTTAGGTTGGACGGTGTTTTCTGTTTGATACTGTGAATTTCTTTGGACTTAATCATAGTATATTTTGCATTATTCTGATCATTTTGAAAACCATTCATTCCAGTGCGTGTAGAAGTGTAATCTAGATGCTGATCGTCCAAGTCAAAGCTAAGACCTTCATCTGCTGTGGACTTTCGACTGTTCTCACTTTCCTTCCGCGGGAAAGCAACTGCAGGAACATCTTTGGACCGACGGCCATCATCTAAAGGGGACTCCCTATTGTTTGCATCTCCTGCCAACAAGCGTCCATCTGCACAGAGCCCTTCATGAGAAGGATCTCCTTCATTGTTTTTACTTATTTGTTTTCCAGATTTTAAATCAATAACACAATCTTCATCAAAAGGACTGCCTGACAGCGARAGGTTTAATGAAAAAGACCCTGTTAATTCCAGCAACCCTTCACCCTCGATTTCACCTCGYTCCTCTGACCTTGTTGTTGTAGAAGATCTTAAAGCGCAGGTATTGACGGGGCTGCAAGGTCCAGATGTACAGGTCTCTTGTTGGAAATGATCACCTGAATCGAATTCTCCGACGAGKTCTTCGGCRTCGTGGCCTTCATGAGCTCGGTCCTTTTCAATRTTTTGACTACCACGTCGATCTTTCACTTGATGGAAATATTGTTGTTTATTTCCTTCCTGGGCACTTATTYTAATAGGATCTTCCTGGAAATTTATAGTAAGAGAGTCTTTCTGGACATTCAAGCTAAGAGGTTCTTCCTGGACGTTTATTCTAAGAGGGTCATGCTGAATATATATTTTGAGAAGGTCTTCCTGGACATTTTCATCACCAATTTCTTCAAGGATACCCTCGCAGTGTTGGGCCATAATGTCATCTGAGATGGACGACCCAACGTCATATAGTTCCATATGGTTGACTTCATGTTCATCGATGTTTTGCTGATGGCGATGGTCTTCTGGGTTTGTTTGTGTCACCCCACCACACTGTGCCAGGTAGCTGTCGCTCATGCTGAATCCCAATGCCTGGGATTCTGGTACCTCACCTAGTGATCATGGAATTTTAATAATCAATGAATGGATGGGAAAGGAGGAATTGATAAATGAAAGTGGATGGATGAAAATTGGGAAGGATCACAGGAGGATGGATGAAAATTGGGAAGGATCACAGGATTAATGAATAAATATGGAGGAAAAAGTGGAGGAATGATAAATGGATGGATGGACGATTGGATGAGATGCATGGATGAATGGATGAACACATATAGAGAGAAGCAGATACAGAGATGGATGTCTGACTGGATGGATGAAAGCATTGTTTACCATCTTGTCGGAGCACCTGTTTAATGTTTTAGCATACAGTAAAATTGTTTAAAATTTGCATTCAATGAGTTCAATAGACTGGAAACGTTTTCAAATATGACTAATTGCTTAAATGTTGTACGTTTTGAACGTATATACAAATTTCATCAAATGAAATACAAAGTTTTATTTTATATCCTTCCATGCGAAATTAGCTGTTTTGATCCAAATGTTGCTCATATCAACAAAGTTTATTTCCAAAAGTACATATACATTAGATCAATTGAATTATAGACTTGTCGATCACCGAGCRAMAAATATCCCACGTCTGCCTTTCAATATCTACTATGATTTTTATGAGTTATGAATTATGCGTTTCATATTCGTTTTTTTTTAAACAA